GCTTCAAAGTTGCCAGGAGAGGCCTCCAAGTCATTGGGAGAAGGCCGGCCTTAAGCTGCTGGGGGGAGCCCCAGAGCATGGTGACGATGAGTTCTGTCCTGGACTCAACGCGTGTACAGTGCAAGGTGCGTGCTGCTAGCGCGGCCCTCTGTGGGGCCTCTGAGGCACATGCCTGCGGAGGTGGGGAAGCGCTGCTTTCTCTCCCGCCAGTGTTGAACTGTGTAATGCAATTAGTTATCTGGCCAGAAACTGAATTCAGACCGTTCTTCACATGATGCTCGCAGCAACGTCGATGGGACAAAAGGTTTCCCCCAGAGCAGCTGCAACAGGCCGGAGGCGGACAACTTGTGCCCCCTTGGTATGTTGATATGGAGCATCACACGTTTGTTCGATGACGACACGATGATGTAACATCTACAAACATAAACAAACAACACCAACACCAACAACAACAAAAAGACAAACAAAAAAAACAAACAAAAAAAAAAAAAAAAAAAAAAAAAAAAACGTGATCCCATATAGAAGTCTGACCCTGTTCGTGCATACCCCGCAACGTTGGTGGACCCTCACTGGGCCACCCAACCTGTCCGACAAGACCTGGGCTGCTTTTCTAGAGGCCGTCGGGTGACGGACTCCTCCAAGCCCCGAGCGAAGGTGAAGGTGACATCGAAGTCTTGCACAAGAGAGTTTTACTTCTAGGCCTGAGACTGCTCCTATGGACATGTTGGCGATCGCATTCTGCCGCTGATCCGATTCAAAGTCAAGAACAATTTGGCATACTTGCTTAATGTTGTAGCCCCGTGTTTCGAGTTTATCATGGAGAACAGTACCTGTGTATTGGAACCGTCCACTTCCGTGTTTTTCAGCTGCAGTCGGTGCAATTTGCTTTTGAAGATCCCTGCGAAGATAGGGGGGGGCGGATGACCTGGGAATGTAGTCGTATACGTTCAAATGTTTGCGATACGTCGATACATAAGCTACCCTGCTGGGCCCTTAAATGCAAACTGGCATCTGGAACATGTGCTGCCTCACCCAATGTGATACCCGATCGTTGTATCTGGATCCAGGGCCGCCACCCAGTCAAAGTTTCGAACAGTTCATTTGTTTGTGAAACTTTCACCATGCCAGACCCGTCGTTGATGTATCTCTTGTATTTGCGTATGTGCAGTCGCCCCTGCAGGTATCGATCAAAACGTTCAGCGAGGTAGATGTCAACAATAGTATTTGCACAACTTAGCCCAGTCTTAAGACCATCCGATTGTTTGAAAAATCTGGCAACTAAGGCGGCTTGAACAACGGGATCTTGCAGGATCAGCCTGGAAATCTTGCAGATCAAATTTCCAGAACCTCGTCGACACATCACAATGTAGTACGCTTGAATCACAGGGACAAGTACGTTGAGAACCCCATCAGTGGCGTCCAAGATGTTTAGGCTCGGGAAAAGGGAAGTGACGTCTAACGTCATGAACATCTCGTCGTCGTCCAAAACGTCGTTGTCTGTTTCACCATATCCTGTTATGACGTCCAAGTTAGAAATTGTTCCTACATTATGTCCCCCTTGAATGCGGAGAATGTCGCATTGGGGACATGGCGGGCAAAACCTCGTAGGTAATCTCTCGGCCGCGACTCGATCGGCGATGTGTGGATGTTCGCACTGATGCGGAAGAGCGGGATGACGAGCGAGGCCAAATTTGAACGAACGAGTTTTGCTCGCCCACCTGTGATGACCCCTCTCCGCAAAGCCCTTTCTACAAGCAAATCCAAACCAATTCTGAGCCTTCGAAGGACATCTGAAGCCTCGTCTGCGTCGATTTCGATATACGATGATTGCAAATGCTTCCGTATTTGTCTCACGGGCCCATCCAGAAGAACGAAATACAACCCCCAAGTTTTTATCAGGTGAGAGGAATTGTTTTCTCTCAGTCATTGCATGCTTCTAACGTCCAGTATGGAGAGATTGTTTCTGGGGGCGTCCGCATCCAGGGCGGCAGAGTCTAAGAAACCATACGCGCCTTGTCGTGCAAAATGCACTGCTTGAGGAAACGCCTGCGCGTCAGCGTCCAGCAGGCGCGGCATTCTGACATCGGAGATCGAAGTATGTCGTTGGAAATCGTCGTTTCCTTACTTGGGTCTCTGCAAGTGCTTCAAGACACAGGCAAAATGTCTCAGTGTCTGACAGATCTGTTTCGTAAGAGTGGTCAACTTCAGCTCCAGTTGCGGAGTAAACTTGGTTGATATACCAGGAAGTTTCTGACATGTAGTGGTACGCCCCAAGGGGCAATGTCTACAAAATGCACTTCATGTGAGCTTAGCTTGCTGAATGAGTTCTTCAGCTTTCATTCCGAATACCCTGACAAAGAGAAACTTGGCATGAACAATTATCGTGCACTTGCCATCTATCAAGAAATTTCGCCTGCGGGGCCGTCGCTTGTGGTGCGGCCCCTCAGCTGCACTACCCCTGGCGTTGGCTTCGGCCTGTCCCACGGCCGCGGCCTCGAACTTCACCGTCTTTAGCATTTTTTGATGGTTTGCCCGAAGATGTCGAAGACACGGATGCGGCAGAACTGGTTCTCGCGGAAGTTTTTGTTATGAAGATGTTGATATAGCGTTCGTCGATGGCATCGGCGTGTGGGGGTATTTCGTTGTCTCCTTCGGGGATTTCCTTGTCACGTGCACTGAACGATGATCAGAGTCCCGGGATTTCGGGCGCCCCTTTGAGCCGATTGATTCGGTTTCGCCGAACCGCTCCAGCTCCGGATTTTCTTCGGCGACTTGTGGCCGCCCCGCCGCGGGAGCCGCTTCAAGTACTCATCGATGACTTTTGGTTGCGTCTTGTACAAATAGTGCATGATGGCACCTGAAGCTACATTCGTTACGTTGCCCGTGTCTGTAGAGATCTTGGCCACTGCAGGTATGGTTTGGACCTCGGCTCTCTCGAATAACGCCTGGGCTTCCTTCAACTTTCTGGTACGGGTCTCCTCATCGCTTTTCGCCTTGAAATATTCCTTCTCGCTCTTAACAAGGCTGTTTCGCAGCATCACGGTGGTGCAGTGGTGTGCCTTGTGTGTAAAGAATTGCTTCTCTACATTAGCGTAATATCTCACACGTTCTGCCCAATGTGCCTGCAACTCCGCTGTCAACTCCAATCGGCAATGAGAGTTCGTCCGTGAAGAACGTGAAGATGCCATCGATGTGAGCATTCACAAAGTCGTGGCATGATCTGGCACGTTGCTCTCGGAGTCTCGTTCATGCTTTCGTGATATCGAAGTCGCCGAGCTCCTCCGGCTGCGAGTCGGCTTCAAAGCCGGTAGATTTAGCCATTCGTATGTATGATTGGGGCCATTGCCCATGCACGTTCGCCTCGTCGTTGAAACGAGTATGCATATCTCTCTCTCTCTCTCTCTCTCTCTCTCTCTCTTCCGGACATCCTTGTTCGTTTTGCGTGTGTTGATAATCTCGGTTCGCTTTTTGAGTTTCCCGCGGAACTCCAAAACCATGTTTCGGATGCCATTTTCAGGGGTATTCAATACTTTGTCGGGTGGATGGGGTAGTCCCCGAATTGATCTTCAGTCGTGTCCCCTTGCGGCGCGGGGGGCGCTTATCGGCGTATACGCCCTGCGTCCGTGGCTTCTCGCCGGACGCCGTGGTGAGCCTGGATTGAGTTGTGAGTTGCCCAAGGCTCTAGCCCATTATTTAGGAAGACATTTATCGGGTTGGGAGGATGGGGTTGTTAGACATGAAGATATCATTAATTCCCGTAGGCGGCAAAACTTATCGTTAATTTCATCCGGATGTTGTTGTTCATATTTTTCATCTTCCCAACCCCTTCCTCCAAACATGGTAATTGTTCTCCTCAATCATGTGTTGCAGGCTCGCTATCTGACTCTGCAGCTCTGCAACCTGACCCCAGAGTGCATTCGCCAGATCATTGGCCTGGAGCTGCAACGCCGTCTGGAAGCCGCCATTGGCTCCGGCACCTCCTCCGCGCGTGCCGGAACGATTGCGTGGGAGAGCCCTGAGGGCCCCAAGGCGAGGCTTCAGAACCTTCTGGGGAGGCCGAGCCTTCGGGGGAGGCGGGTGCGACAGGGCCTCCGGCAGAGGCCCCCGGGGTCCCTGAGAGAGGCCTCAGAATTCTGGGAGAGGCCCCAGAACTTCTGGAAGGTGTCTGTGTCGGAGCCAGCGGAAGGGCCTCAGACTGCAGAGCCGCAAGAATTGCGACAGCTCCACGGATGGGAGCCCCCAGGCAGCCAGCGTCGAGGAGGCGAGGCGCGAGCGCCTGGGCGGACGTTCATGATCCTGAAGCTTGAAGGTTCTAACAGCTACAAGGCTGGGTGATTCCTTTGCAAGATGGGGTTCTCGCTTTCGCGCTGCGCTCATTTTTTTGTGAGGTTGCGACAGCGACAGGGATGGAGAGCGGGTCGAACTCGGGATCTCGCGTTCAAGTCTTGCAACAGCTACTGAGATGGAGGACGAATCGTGTGGTTCTTGCTCGTGATGTTTAGCCATCGGAGGATTGGAAGCATGCAACTGTGTGATAGCTACACGGATGAAGGGCGGCTTTATTTGAGAATGGAATTCCCGTTTCAGATGTTCCACTTTGGTGGCCAGAAGCGTAGATTCGCACAACAGTGACACGGATGTGGGCCGGTCCTTCTCTTCAAAACGGTGTTCTCGTTTTGGACACGTCGTTGAAATGTTTGGTCTTGCCTGCTCGCCTTCTTCCTGCTTCACTGGAAGGGTACAAGGCAGCTCCTCTTCAAAACGTGGTTCTCTCTTGAGGAGCAGGCCGGCAGAGCGCTCGTCTTTCAGTGGGGCGTTCATTGTAGTGAACACCAGGTTTGCGCTTGTGTATGAAGGGGGCTTGGGACGAGAGGGTGTATTGCAGCATCGTTGATGCATATCTCCTCCCCGTCCTGCTCTTTTCTCTCCGTAGCCATTTGGCTCAAGCAGTTTTAGCCAAACGTTGTCGGTATGCCTGGCGCCTCCTGAGCGCACCGTCGATGGCGGCGGTGCCCACAGAACCGCTCTGCCAAGCCTTGGCGCAGATCTGCAGCGACGAGGACAGGGTCGTCTTCCGGGAGCAGCGCGCCCTGGAAGACGCGGACGTAGTTTCTGTCGGGGTGTTGGTGGTCGCTGGCGAAGGGGGCGCCGTAACAGTTGCCATAGCTGTCAGCTCCAGCGTGCCGCTGCGGCTGCACTGGGCCACCGCTGACGACCTATGCGGCGGGTGGCGGCCAGCCCCTCACGGGTGGGTGACGCGGCCTGCGAGGTCGTTCGATGCTGGCGGGGGCGCGTGGGCAACCGACCTCGAGGAGGCGTCGCCCGGCGTGCAGCTGGTCGAGGTGGAGCTCCGCGCAGAGAGGGCCGCGCTCGCGTTTGTGCTGCGGACGCACCAGGACAGATTCATCAAGCATCACGGGCGCGACATCTACGTGCCCCTGCGGGCCGCGGGCGGCGGCGCGGGCGACGGCGCGGTCGGTGCGGCGCCAGCGGCGCCAGCGGCGCCAGCGGCGCCAGCGGCGCCTCCGGCGCCAGCGGCGCCTCCGGCGCCAGCGGCGCCTGTGGCGCCAGCGGCGTCAGCGGCGCCAGGGGCTCGGCCGCCCGTTGCGCTGGCGGACGCCCTGCGGGCGGTGGAGGCGGAGTCTGGCCTGACGCCGGAGTGTTGGGACGAGGAGGTGCTGCTGGACGACCACCGCGTGGTGGGATTCGCCACGAAGGCCTGGTGCGACGACGCAGGGGTCGCCCACGTGCTGCTGGCGGCGGGGGCCCGCGAGGCGCTTGCGCTGCACTGGGGGCTTGTCGAGCGCGCAGGGGGCCGATGGCGGCGGCCGCCCCAGGGCTGGGCGGGCGAGCCCCCAGGCTCGAAGCCGTGTGGCGACGGCGCCCTGGAGACGCCGTTCGAGCACGTCTCCGAGGGCTCCTACCGCCTCCAGCTGGATCTGCCCCACGGCCGCTTCAGTTCCCTCGCCTTCGTGCTGCGCCTGGCAGGCGGCATCTTCGTGAAGCGAGGGGGCCGCGACATGCTGCTCGCTCTGCCAGGGCGCGGCGAGCACAGCGAGGCTTCGGGTGGCGGCCCCTCCTCGGAGCAGCACATGCCGCGCGAGGAGCGGCACCCCGCGCCACACCACAGCGAGGACCCGCCAGCCGGGCAGGACGAGGTCGAGGACGCTGCAGAGGAGCGGCCGGCATTGCCGCCCGCGGTTGCTCGCGCAGAGCGCAATTTGAGCGACTTGCAGCGCCAGCTCGGGAAGCTTGCCGGCGGCGGCTCTTTCGACCGCCGGCTTGTGGATGAGATCGTCCGGAACGAGGAGCACTGTCAGCGCTCCCTGATGCACCGCTACAACTTCGCCGCGGAGTTGCTTCAGCGTGAGGGAGCGCCTGGGGGCATCGGCCAGGACCAGCTTGTAGTGCTCTTCGTGTGGCTTCGCTTCATGAGCATGCGCCAGCTGGTGATAAACCGTAACTACAATATCAAGCCTCGCGAAATCAGCGCGGCGCAGGAGCGGGTCACCCTGACGCTGGCAGCGGTGCTGCAGCAGCGGCCAGAACTGCGAGAAGTCGCGTGGGTGACCATGGCGACTATCGGCCGCGGAGGCGCTGGAGACACCGGCCAGCAGATAAGGGACCAGATCCTCGAGGTGCAGAAGCGCAACGATTGCAAGGGCGGTATGATGGAGGAGTGGCACCAGAAGTTGCACAACAACACCTGCCCCGACGACGTGTCGATCTGCGAGGCGCTGTTGGCCTACATCGAGGAGGACTTGGACGTGGGCGCCTACTGGTCCCGATTAGCCAAGGACAACGTCACAAGGGAGAGGTTGGCAAGTTACGACCGCAAAATATGCAGCGAGCCACGCTTCCGGCCAGAGCAGCGCAGGGGCTTGGCGCGGGACCTCACAGACTACTTGCGAACCCTCAAGGCCGTGCACTCGGGTACCGACCTGGAGTCTGCGATCGACGCCGTGCTCGGCAAGACCACGGTGGTGTTGCGCAAGTCTCGTGGCAGAGGAGGCGGCGGCGGCGGCTCAGAGCAGGCTTGCGAGGTTGAGGCCGCGCCGCGCCTGGCCGAGCTTCCAGAGCGCTTGCGCGAGCTGCTGGCCGCCACGCAGCTGCTCGCAAAGGATGTGCGGGGCGAGGGCGCAGCGCTGGCGGCGCTCGAGGCTGCAGTGGAAGCGCGCTGGGAGCTGCAGCCCCTGCTCGACCAGGCGGGCCGCCAGCGCGCAGGAGGCGCGCAGGGGAAGGACCTGCTGTACCTGGACATGGCCCTGGAGGCCACGGTGCGCACCGTCGTGGAGGGCGCCCTGGCACGCCTGGGCCAGTCTGCGCCCGAGGAGGTGATGGCCGTCGCCGCGGTGGTCCTGGAGAGCCTGGCGATCTCCGCCGGCAGTAACGAGGAGCTGCTGCGTTGCCTCCGGAGCTGGCGGAGCGCCGCGTCGTGCACACGTGGCCCCGCCGAGCTCGCCCTGCGAGTCAAGGCGGCAGCGGAGCGTGTCGGCGCGGAGCTGGCCGCCAGGGGAGACCGTTTCGCGTGCGCGCTGCAGCCAGCTGCTGAGGCGTTGGGGCGTGGCCTTGGCGTGGATGCCGACACCCTCGGGCTCTTCTCGGAGCAGGTGGCGCGCGGCGGCGCAGCAGCTCCCTTGGCGCAGCTGCTGCGCGTGCTGGACCCCATGCTGCGCGGGATGGCGGACATGGGCGCCTGGCAGGTGATCTCTTCTTTCGAGGCGCAAGGCCGCGTGCTCTGCGTCAGCGGGCTCGCCAGCCTGCAGCACGCGTCCCTTGAGGAGGCCACCGTGCTAGTAGCGGAGCGGGTGGGCGGCGAGGAGGACATCCCAGAGGGCGCCGTGGCGCTGCTGACGCCCGACGCGCCCGACGTCCTCTCCCACGTGGCGGTGAGGGCCCGCAACGAGCGCAAGCTGTTTGCCACGGTGTTCGATGCGGAGGCGATGCAGGCGTTGCGCGCGCTCGCCGGGAAGGTGGTCCTCTGTAGGCCCGCCCCAGCGGGCGACTCCGTCGCCATCGAGGCCGCAACCGGCTCCGAGCCATCGCCGCGGGCGCCCGCGGCACCGTGCGCCACGGCCAGCGGACCGCGCCTGGCACGGAGAGCCTTCTGTGGGAGGTGGGCCCTGTCGCCGCCAGACTTCAGTCCGGAGAACACGGGCGGGAAGTCGCGCAACTTGTGCGCCCTACGCGGGAGGCTGCCGCAGTGGATCCAGCTGCCCGCCAGCGTCGCCGTGCCCTTCGGCGCCTTTGACGCGGCGCTGGCGGAGGCGGCGAACGTCGGGGTTGCAGGCAGTTCGTGACGCTTCGCGGATCCCCACCAGGTTTGTTCAGTGCATGTGCAGGTGCGAGCTGTCGGTCCGCCTACTCTGGCTGGCGGCGAATTGTCTTGCAAATTAGCCTCGCCCGTGGCCCGGACGTCGCCTTCGCTCCCTGACCTTAGTCTCGGGGCCGCTGACCAAAAAAGCGTATCCCCACCAGGCTTACTTGTTGGTCGCCACCGGGATTTCCAACGCCACCGGGTTTGGGAGTATCGATTCTGGCTCTCCTTCTGAGTGGTTGCCCGCTCGCTCGCTTCGCTTGCCTTCTTTTCCTGCTGCCTAGTCGGAGGAGGAGGAGTAGGAGGCGGAGAGGAGAAGGAAGAAGAGGAGGAGGCCTAAGCGGATCTTCTGTTGTGAAAGCCTCTTGGAGGATTCTTAGGGCCATTTTGGGTCCATCTGGGGGTCCTCCTTGGGCCCTCTTGAGGTTCTTTCGGGGAGTCTTGCAGCCTTCTTGGGGCTCTTCGGTGGGGTTTTGGGGCCCTCTTCGGGCAATATTTGAGCCCATGCGTGAAAATTGGGGCCCGCGTGGGGCGCTCCTTGGTGCCTCTTGGAGGGCTTCTGGACCAGCTAGGAGCCCGTCTGGGCTCCTCTTGGGGCTCTCTGGGGCCATCTGGAGGCTTCAGAGACCCATCGGAAGCGAAAAGGCGAGAAGGCAACAATCCTTGATTCCCCTTTGGTTTGGGAGCGATTTGGACCTCCTGGTGAGCTCCTTACGGTGTTCCCAGGGCACTTGGAGCCGTCTTGGGGCATTTGGGAGGTATGTCTAAGGCTACTTGCATAATCTTGTGCCGTCTTGGAAACCATCATGGGGCGCCGGGGGCCATCTTGGAACCATCTTGAGCCATCGTGGGCGCTCTAAGCCCTCCGTCCTCCCCCGTCCAGGTTCAGGGGCGGGGGTAGGGGAAGGGATCATCCTCCCCGAATAGGGAAGGAGCTGTGGATGAGGGAAGAGAAAACTTGGTACACCGCCTGCGCCCAGAGGGCTAGTGGAGTTGAGGGATCTGAATACCAGGTTGAGCGAGGGCGCGGCGGCGACAACCATCTCGAGCACCTTGAGAGAGATCCGCGAGGCGGCGGCGGCGGTGAAGCCCTCCCCTGGCATGGCCTCGGCGCTGCGGGCTGCGTTTGACCAGGAGGGCATTCCGTGGCCTGGGGAGCCAGGCGACGGCGGGCGCGGCGCAGCCGCGTGGTCGGCTCTGGCCGCGGTGTGGGCCTCGAAATGGAACGACGCCTCGTACGCGAGCTGCTGCAAGGCAGGGCTTCCGCATAGCGACGTCTCCATGGCTGTGCTGTGCCAGCAAGTCGTAGACGCCCGCTATTCCTTCGTGATTCATACAACAAACCCCTTCACTGGCGATCGTGATGAGCTGTATGCCGAGTTAGTGTGCGGCCTTGGAGAGGCCCTGGTCGGCAACTACTCTGGGCGTGCGCTTGGCTTCAGCGCACGGAAGGACGACACGACCAAGATCACCATCCGCAGCTTCCCGAGCAAAAGCATAGGCCTCTTCGTGGAGGGTCCCACGATCATCTTCCGGTCCGACTCGAATGCGGAGGACCTTCAGGGGTATGCCGGAGCAGGCCTGTACGACAGCGTCATCATGGACAAGAGCGCACAGCAGCCGATCGACTACTCGGACGAGCCGTTGTTGACGGACGCCCGCTTCCGAGAAGAGGTCCTTCGCAGCGTGGCCGCGATCGGCGTGAGCGTGGAGCAGGCAGCGGGCGCTGCTCAGGACGTGGAGGGCGTTGTGGACCGCCAGGGGGCGTACTTCGTCGTGCAGACGCGGCCGCAAGTGTGAGGCCCGCCGCCACAGGCCCTGGGGGCCCCGCAAAAGCACGCGGCGCGCGCCTGATTCTCAATGGAGCGCTGGCTCCGGCCGTTTCCTCACTTTTCAAGGGGCGCTTGCTGGTGGCGCGGAGGTCCCCCCCCTCTGCTCAGTCCTCCCTTCTCCGCAGCCAGCTCGGCGCCAGGTCGCTCGGCTGCACAGAGCCAGCACGGCTTGGTCTGCCCGTTCCGCGCCCGTCGGATCCGGTCGGCAATGTGAGCCGCAACGTCTGACGAAGCCAAATCTCGACCAGCCCAACAAAACACATCGGAAGCGGCGGCACGACTAAAGCAGCAGGCCCTGGCAGGGATAAGTGTGAGACTTGTGATAGGGAGCAGACGAAGAGCCAGAGTACGCTGATGCCTGGGTGATGGCGATGCCTCTCACCGAAAGTAAGCCAGGGCCAATGTTATTATGCCCCTGGTGCTCGTGAGCTCCTCGGGCTTCCAATCCTACGTCAACATCCTCTGCCTCTAAACTAGCCTTAGGAGATTGGCGGCCTAAACTTGGAAGACTGTCGAACTAAATGTGAGAGACTGGCGACCTAAACTGACAATATTTGCAAAACATACATACACAGCGGATGGCCGCGAGCAGAAATGAGAAAACTAAATTCGATACTGAGTAGAATGGCGGCATCAGCTTGGGAGATTGGCGCGCTGAACTGGGCGCTCAAACATTGACGACCTGAACTTGGGAGATTGGTGGCCTAAGATTACGAGGCTGGCGTCTCATGTTCCTCGACCTCCTCGTCCGTCTCCTCCCTTCCTCATCCTCCTCCTCTTCCTCCTCCTTCTCCTCCTCCTCCGCCTCCTCCTCCTCTATGCGTGTGATGAGCACCCACCGTCATTGAAAACGGCACCCCAGATCAACATTGCGAAAACAGTGTTGGGTCGACCATGCAAGGGTTGAAATCACTCATCAATCCCTTCTTGCACTCGTTGTGGGTATTGATGATGCTGATGATGACGATGATGGTGGTCTTGACGATGGTGATGGTGATGGTGATGGTGATGGTGATGGTGATGGTGATGATGATGATGATGATGATGATGATGATGATGATGATGATGGTGATGATGGTGATGGTGATGGTGATGGTGATGGTGATGGTGATGGTGATGATGAGGGGGAGGAGGAGGAGGATAAGGGCGATCAGAAGAGTCAAAGGCCTCTTGAATGCCTCGCGGAGTCTCTTGGGATGTCTCTTGGGATACTCTTTGAGGTCTCTTGGGGCGTCTTGGGGGCCTCTTGGCGGTCCCGGGAGCTTCTTGGACCGTCTTGGGTGCCTCGTGGGAGCCTCTTGGGACCTCTTGGGGGCCTCTTGGGGGTTTTTTGGGGGACTCTTGGAGGCCTCTTGGGGCCTCCTGGTCGCCTCTTGGGGCCTCCTGGGCGCCTCTTGAGGCCCTCTTGGGGCGCTCTTGGGAGCCTTGGGAGCGCTCTTGGGGCCATCTTGGAGGTGATCGATCAAAGGAAGGGGGTCCCCCAATTAGCCTTCCCCCTCGGGAGCCTCCAAAATCGGCCAAAACCCTAGTAAAACCTATGATTTTGGCTTCCTCGCCGAGGCCGTTTAGGACGCTCTAGCTACCAGCGGCCCCCCCCGTCCAAGTCCAGGGGAGGGGGTTAGGGGGAGGGGTAAACCCCTCCCCGAAGGGGAAGAAGGAGGGGTAGAAGAGGAAATTCCCTAAACCACCTACGCCCAGAGGGCTGGTGGGATTTCAGCTCCATGTAATGAGTCAAACATTCAGTTGCGTGCACTGGTCGATGACCGAGATTGAACGATACTTTGGTTGGTATTCGTTGCCAGTAGTTTTCTTTTTACGTTTAAAATGAGAACTGCAAATGCAGTTTAGCCTCGATGGGCCAGTTCCCAAAGTCGGCATAAACATGCACTATCCGGTCCAGATGCGCATTCTTTTTTATGCAGTGATTTGTGAGTGCGTGCGTCGGGTGTTTGTACGGCATGTTCCACTTCGGAGTGGCAGCGATCAATTCTGATTCAATTGTTTCGCCGTGGTCGCTAACCAGGACTTATGTGCGTCTGTCGGCCTCGACCTCCTTCGAAAAAGTATCAACTTGTGTGTTGCCGATCTCCTTCCTGAATTTGGTCCTGGTTGAGTGCCAGCCTCGACTGTCCTGCCTTCCTTTACGTATTGACCGCGTGGACATGGCGGTAGCGGATTCGAGGTAAGATGATTGAGATCGAGAGGCAGTGCATGTGGTAATCGAGAATTCAATAGTGATGGTTCTAAGTATTTCATTTGGCATAATGTCGTTGGGCGATTTGCGTGTTGAATTTTACATGAAGCATTCTAAATATGCAATGTGGGGCGCAACGTATCGAGCATCTTTGTCCCAGTGCTTTTAAAGTACACCCTTGCCCTTGACTGCTGCCGCTTTCTGCTGTGCCAAAGCAAACACTTGCCACCGATGTAAGCCGGCGAACTGCGTGCGTGTTCCGCTTAGTCCAGTCATCGCATTGCGTTGGTTTCTGATCTAGGTTCTGGTATTGGAATGTACCACGCTGGAGGTGCGAAGATCGGATCATAGCTACTGTTACGAATGGCTTCAGTGAGTGCGCGAATGCTGGAATGTTGTCTCGGCCGCGAGCGCCTAAGCCTAGGGCAGCCAAGTGTAATAGCCGCCCGAGGGGATCCTGCACCCCCGCGCTCGAGCCGAAGTCTATTCCCCCGTCCTCCTTTCCCTCCGCCTCTTCCTCCTCCTCCTCCTCCTTCCCCTCCTCCTCCTCATCCTCCTTCTCTTCTGTCGATACCTTGGCATCCACTTCTTCCCAGGAGCGAAAGTCACGGATAAGTTCGTTTCTGGGGGCCCGAAATGGTGGCCAGGATGTCGGATGGCCGTTGCCACGAGAGGTTTGTTCCCGACGGTTACATTCGTTTGCATCGTGCGTTCAGAGTCCTGTGTTTTTCTTACGCTGTTCAGATGTATGTGTTACCCATCCGTCTTTTGCAGCGTGAGCCCCACGCTTTGCACAAGCCCTTCTGCTTGCTCCCTTCCAGATTTGATGTGCACGAGTTCCACTCTCTCCGCTGGCTGCGTGCCCCAGAGCCGCTGAGTATGATGTGGGTGGCGTGTATGTGGAGGACGGCGGGTCGGACTTTCATCGGTTGGGGAAGGGCATTCGAACGGATCGAAGTTCGGGCGTTCAGTTGTGGAATTCTCCGCCGCGCATTCGCGGAGGGGTGGTGCGGGGGTGGAAACTATTGCGTCTATTGTCCAGGTATACGGCCGCGTCGTCTTCTTTTTGTTCTACTGTTGTTGTCGTGTCTGGTCCTCCCATGTCTTTCCCTTTCGCCTTTTCCAGTCCTTTCAGAGGGCATAACTTGAACACCGAGGCAGCCGTCAACGGAGCGCTCGCGCAGAAGAAGCCACCTCAGTACCGTGTCCAGTATGTGTTTAGCTTTCAGGTTCAGGAGATCGTTGACGGCCTCCCCATGGTCATTTTCCGCAGGCTCAGGAGAATAATTTCCGCCTGGATTGCAGTCCAGGTCATCCCACTCTGGGCCTCCGTAGGGGACGGTTGCGTGACCTTTTAGCCCGTCGGCCACCCAGTCGCTCGTGACCTTGCGGCGAAGCGTTGGCAGGCGCGCTGAGAATGCTTGGCGGAGTGGATATCGTCGCGCAACATCGTGGCAGGCTAGGGTGCGATTGTCCTCATTGCATATTCGCTTTTATTAAACAATTTGCCTTGGAGGGCAGCCGATCCTCAACCCAGGCTCCTTCCCCCTGAGCCCCCCCTGGTGCGGGTCGGTTTGAGGGGCGAGTACGACTACGAAGGTTTGGAGGACGGACGCCGTCGGACCCACAGGCGATTTATATATCGCTAGCACATTTACCGAAAGCGTCGGCCCTCTCTCAGCCAGCAGGGATCTGCGGCCCATGCGCAGACCCAACAGGCCATCAGTGCGGCCCCCGCTCCGCGCTGCCTATAAGAAGTCACACCAAGTCCTCCTCCTCATCCTCCTCCTCCTCCTCATGCTCATGCTCATGTTCATGTTCATGCTCCTCATCCGCCTCCTCCTCCTCCTCCTCCTCCTACTCCTCCTCCTCATCCTCATCTTCCTCATCATCGTCCTCTCTCCCCTGCTTCCTCCCCCTCCTCTTCAAAGGTCATCGTTTCCTTGCTCTCCACTTCCGCCACTCGCCTCGTCGTCATCTTGGCCCTTCTCATGTTCCTCATCCTTTATCATCGCCCTCCTCCTCGTGTTCTTCCTCAGCCTTCTGACGCTAACGCTGGTGGATGTGTCGTCCCAGGGATCGAAGCAACCGTACGCATCACCATCACCAGCCTCATCACAAGCATCATCACCATCATCAGCATCATCAGCAGCAGCATCACCATCATCATCATCATCAGCAGCAGCAGCATCACCATCATCATCATAATCAGCATCATCACCACTGTCATCATGATCAGCAGCAGCATCATCATCGACAGCAGAAGCAGCATCAGCATTATCAGCATCATCAGACGCATTATCAGCATCAGCAGCATCACCATCACAATCACCATCAGCATCAGCAGCATCAGCATCATCATAATCATCAGCAATAGCCTCATCATCACCGTCAGCAGCAGCAGCATCATCAGCATCATCATACTCACCATCACCAGCAGCATCAGCATCGCCATCATCATCATCGTCGTCATCATCAGCAGCAATATCATCATCAGCAGCATCGTCATCAGCAGCAGCATCACCATAACCATCAGCATCAGCTGCATCATTATCATCAACAACATCACCAGTATCACTACCATCATCACGGTTATGAGCACCACCACCAACAACACCATCATCATGCCATCGTCGCTACCGTCATCATCAGCAGCATCATTGTCATCACAAACATCAGCAGCATTATCATCATGACCAGCATCATCATCATCATCACAAGCAGCACCATTTTCATTATCATCCTCAGCAGCATCAACAACATCAGCAGCATCA